TGAGGCAGCATGTTCCTTGTTTTTGTGGAATAGTGTGACATTGAGAGTTGGGTGGATCCATGTTTCATCATCCTGAGGTGGAAATAGTAAGTGAGATTTGGTTAAAATACCATTGAAGAATTTGGCACTATTATGAAATTTTTTGTCATCGAGGTATTGACATTCTTTGTTATCACAGGTAAGGCAATGAAAGTTAGCAACCTGAGATGCTTCTTCACGTCGCTCATGAAGTGAGTTAGGTTTTTGAAAGGTATAGCCTTCAGGGAGGTGTTTAGAGAGTTGAAGGATAAAATGTTGTCAGAATTAAATTCTTAAAAAGGTGTGAACTTTTTCTTTATCAATATTGGAAGAGAATTGTTTGCTATAAGGAGGATAATAAGTTTCAAACCAGGAATTGAAGTGGTCCAGAGAGTTTTTTAGTGAGGGTCTTTTCAGTAATTATAATTATCTTACATTTTAAAAATATTATTATTTTGCTATTTATTTAACATTTGCTTCAGAATTTTTTTAATTTTTGTTGCAATAGAAGAATAATAGAATCTATATCTGATTTATTTCTGATAAGAATTTCTAAAGTGTGATCATTCATTAAATTAAATTGAGTATTTATATTAGTCTTTAGTAAAAATTTGTTATTCTCACTTATTATATTTTCTAAATTAAAGATATGAAATAATTTAATAAATATACTTGCCTTAATATTTGATATGTCTTTTGAGCTAGATAGTTCAGTCATGTGCACATAAAGATTCTTCATGCTAATTACTTTTTGACATTCAGTTTTTTTAGAAAAAAGCTTTATAATGTTTTGAATTTAAATACCTGTTAAACTAGAAATAGCATTAGCACTATATGTAACTTGATTAATTTTATCTATTTCTATTTTTTTAAACAATGTATAAATATTTCTAGTCTTTTGTGTTTTTTTATGCAAATACTCTCTCTTAATGCCAAGAAGAAATAGTTCTATTTTATTATAATCTGCATTCTTGCTATTTGATCATTAATTTCATTTTTTAAGCTAATATCTCTAACCTTTTTTTGAATTTCTCACTATAACAATACCAATATAAAATCTCTTTCGGGCTAGTTTTTTTAGCTTTGTCAAATAAATAGAACAAATATGATGCAAAACCTGAAGTTAAATCATTTTTATTAAGCATATTTTCAAGAATTTGTTTATTAGATATGAAATTTGAAAGGCTTTTCTTATTAATAAATGTAGATAACTCACATATTAAATTTTGTTTAACTTTTTGATTATAGAAAATTTTAATTTCAAAAGAAGTGATACTTTGTGTTTGACTAATTAGTTCTTCTAAAACATTATAACTGATTTTAGGAAAAAAAACTCTTTTGTATTAGTTTTTGATCTTGAGAAGTAGATGTTTCATTATTTCGTAACAGTTTTTTTTCCTGTTTATCTTTTTTATTTCATTTCTAATCTGTTCTTTATGTATCTATTTTCAGAAATTTGCTCTTTTTATCTTCAAAAGTATTATTAAAATTTGTTTCAAAAGATGTAAAAGATTGGTTATCCTTTTCTTAACATATATTAGAAGAACCAGATGCTCGATGCTCCATATCATCAGATATAATATTAGATATATTTTCTACTTGTTCAAGAATATTACTCTTTAACAGTTTGAAGTTAGTATCAATGCAATAGTTTATAATAGGGTCAGATATATTATTTCTATTAGAAAATAGAAAATTATTATTATTTTTTAATTTATCTATTATATTGTTTTGATTCTGCTCTAATGTTACAAATTGCTTTTATTTTCTTTTGTTAACCATTCTAGTTCTATGATTCTGGTATTAAGTTTAATATCTTTTAATCTTGCTTTTTTAGCATTTTGTTCTAATTCCATTATTCTAGTCATAAATTCTGCTTTCTTAACTAAGAATTCAGCCTTCTTCTTTTTAAGTTTAGTATTTTTAGTTACAAGCTTGGAAATCTGGTCTAATAAATTAGTTTTGAATTGAGTATTTGCCATTTTTTAATATAATATATGTATACATTCAAATAATTATACTGATACAGAAAAAAACATTAGCAGATTAAAAATCATATGAGCATAAAAATTCTTCATACCAATGTTAAGAAAAATCTTTGATTATATATAAGTTAATATACATCAATAACTACAATAAAATAAATAAACTTATAAAATACATATACAAAAGTAAACATAATTATGTATATGAAATTAGCCACTACTTATTTTATATGAGTTATGCATAATAATAAGCCTTGTAAAATATTATAGTACAGATAAATTTATATATATGTGAAATTTATTCTAACATATTATTGTATTTACACTACTTATATATTCCATTTGCTACTTTTTTACATGTTTTGCAATACAGATGTAAATGGTGATTGCATTTATTACAAACCTTATACTTATGCTTTTACTATTTATAGATATGCCATTTTTTCAATATAATTTTGACTTTTTTGATTTGTAAGTATATTATTCATTGTTATATTAATAGAAAAAAATAATATATATATAGCTAAACTTTTTATACAAACTTGCTATTTTATAAACAAATTATAAGTCTCATATAATAAATAATTGCAATAGATAAAAAATCTTAAATAAACATATTTACAAATTAAATAATAGTGATATTAAAAACTTTATTAATTTATAACTAAGTATATGGAGTAAAACAACATTAATATTATCATTATTGATTCTGACCTTAGTGATCAAAACATGTAACTTCACATAACTGGTGTAGTAGATTAATTTTTTGGTTTCAAAATGCTTAGTATAATATTATTAATATCCTTTTTATTTAATTTTGAAATGGTTAAAGTACTAAAAGATTTAACTCTTTGAATTTTATTTTTTCTAATATTAATAAAGAGTATATAAAGCTTTCATGACCTTTTTACTTTTTTTTACAATGTAGTATCTGTAATATTAGAGATTTGTTTTCTAATTTTATTATTAACTAATAACAAAGAAGCATATAAAGGGTTTGTTTTCTCATAATGTGTAAGTCATTTTGATAGAGCTTTACTAAAGAGATAATAGTTGGTTATAACATTCTGATTCATAATTTCATTTTGCATTTCTAAATTAGTTATATTATTATATAGATTATTAAAACTAATAGCATTTTTTTTCTAATTACAGGAACTTGAGTTTCAGGTTTAGTAGATAATTCTTTTATAAAATTTTTTAATATATTTGATTTTTTTTTAACCAGTTTCTTTATTTTTTTATTAAATAGTTTATTTGTAGATTCTCTAATACAATTTTTTGTATTCTATCTTTAAATAATAATGATGTATTCATTGATAAATTTAGCCCAAAATTATTGCCTAATATATTTGCAATAGCTGAAGTTTTACTAAACTAAGATGATTTGAAAAACTTTCATTCAAATATTATAAGATCAATAGTTTTTTCATATTCAGTAATCAGGCATTTTTTTTCTTTTGTAAGTAAAAATTTTTTTAATGCATTTTCTATAATATATATGACTGCATAGAAGTATTGTAAGTAATTCAAAGTTAACTATTAAAATTTTTTTATTATATATTTTATATAGTGGCAATTTCATAATGTCAATATTTTTTTATTTTTTAAATTTTTTTTTTCCTACTGCCTGGTCGCTAGTGGGCTACAGCTGGCAGCTATTTTATTAGTTTATATTTCAAGTTCACAGGACCTTTTATCAGGACCCTGTCTACATTTTATATTATTTGTATACATTTTTATAGTACTATCTATATACTAATTTTTGTGTTTCTATTATCCTGGAATTTCATCAGGATTATTCCTAATCAGGGATTCCTTTGTTCTATTATTATTCTCAGCCTCCTAATTATCATGGCTTTCTTATATTAGGTCTATTGCCATTTAAGGATCTGGGTACCAAAAATCTTCCTATTTTCGTAGTTCGCAGTTAGCTGTGATTAATTAACAATCATGATCCTAACTCAGTTTTCGTCCCTTATTGGACTTGAACCAGCAATCTTGCGATTGGTGACCTTGCGATTGGTGACCTGGAAGCATAACTACTTTGATATCGATCTGCAGGTCTAATGTCAATATTTTGTACTATACTATGTTTTGTTTTTTTTAAAATATTAAAAATGAAGTTTTGAAGATTAGCAAGAAACATAATGATATCAGTGAAGCAAGTACAGATAAGTTTTTACAATAAAATTCTTTATACTTAGCTTATTTATAGTATATTTTTTATAACCAAAAAAAAAAATTTTAGATACTAATTTTGAATTTAGTAACTATTCTTTTATAAATTATTTAGTATAAACCAAGAACTGATCGATCTACTAGCAATTATGAATGATTTACAAATTAGTAATATGATAATTAGATGAAATAAAACATTAATAATTCAATTTAGACAGAAAATCCAAAATTACTCAATTTACTGACAATTCTTAAGTTTATTAGCATTTTGATAATACTAATCTTGGGCACATTTCATTAATATGCTACCTGGTCAATAAAGCTGTTTTCTTACTACATACTGAATTATTTAGTTGAATTTATTTAATTTTTTTATAAATAATATGCTTATTGAATAATGGTTGTTGATTGATTTTTTTTATACAAAGCTACTTGGGTTTTAAATTCTTTATATTTAGAATTATTAACTATGGTTTTATTTCTAATTAAATTATTTTTTATACAAAATATAAAATTTTTCTAATAATTCTTACTATTAATTTTATATCTAAGAATAAATAAATATTTATGCATATATTTGAGTAGACAATACTTTGCAAATCATAACCAAGCTTCTGATGTTTTTAAATTACTAATATGGTTTAAACCATATTCAGTTAACATGTATCAGACATAATTATTTTTTGTTCATTCTTTAAAAATATCTTAAATATTAACCAAGTTGTATAAATGTATTATATATCAAATATATTGTTTTACCTAACTAAGACATTTTTATTTTAATTTTTACCTATACAGATAAATAAAAAAATTTAGTCTAATAAACATTATCTAAATTACCCTCTGAGAAAATTTGAATATTAGTTTTCATCGAAGATGCAGAATGGTTTTGTCTGATTATATAGTTTTCACTTTTTCTGCATATTGATTATAGTATACCTTTTAGATGAAGAAACATGGTTATTAGATGAAACCAAAGGGCTTTACTAGCAAAAGTGTTAGCCTTTAATGTATTTTTAGGCCTATGTGCTACAAAAGCAAACACTGCTCCTAACTTATATAAAGAGCTAAAAAGTAATGGTTTATCACTTTTGAAAAAAAATTTATCTTTTTTCAAAAATATACTTAAGTATATAGATCCAAGCTTTTCTGAGTTCCTTAACTTTTCAGAAATGATTGCTTTCTAAATTCATATAAGCAATTTTCTTGCCTAATCTTTATTTTTTTTTAGTAATCTAAACACTCGAAGAATATTCTGTTAATCATAATTTTTTGCATATCTAGTTACAGCTTCATTAGATATATGCAAGTTTTTAATTTCAGCAAAGCAAATGCAAAGCATTATTATTACATCAGCTAGGGCTTGTTTGTCAAATATATTAGACACATTGTATAAATTTAGTCTTTCTTTAACAGATTCTAATAAAAAATAATCTAAAAAATTGATCACTTTATTTTTACATTGCTCATTATACTTATTTGAACTTTATTAGATAACCTAGTTACCTCTGGATTTAATGTAACAGAAATTATTTTTTCTGAAGCATTGAGAGCTCACAATTCTCTTTAAAGCCTAGAAAAACAGAATAAGACAACAATAGGATTAAAAGCAGTTTTGACTAAGGTTCTAGATATCACTTTTACATTGCTTTTATTAAGTTTATCTTGCATAATACACTGAGCTGTTTCTTTAATAGTTTCTTTTAAACAAGACTATCAGATACTTGGCATATATTCATTTCTTTAGCTTCTAACCTTACTTCTTTAAAAGGTGCTTGACTTTTGTATTACCTAATTCTCTGAAAAGAAATCAATGCAAATGCCTGCTCTTTAGTAAAATCATAACTTTTTATAAGATGATTATAAGTTTGATGTCTTTTCGCTTTATTATCTGTCAAGAGTTTAAGTATTTTTGATGCATATTAGCTAAGCTCTTTGGAACTTATCTTATTGATAAATTTGCAGTCTGTGATAAACTTGGTTGTAATAGCAAACATAATAAGATATATAGAATATAAGTGATAGTTAGATTATTTTTTCTTTGTCAGATTATATTATATAGATAAAGTTTAATTTGAAAAAAATATTCTGACAATTCACTATATATAAACACTCTATAATTTACTTATAATCGGTAAGGCTAACAGAAGGCTGAAAATAATATATTTTAGCCAAAGGTACTATGCATGTAATTTTAAAAGAACCCACTTTGATTGAGAAGAGTTTAAATCAATTTAAAATTTGTAGGCAGATAGAATATGTAAAAAAAAAATACATAAACATAGAACCCTATTTCAAGACTATAAATAAATTTGAATCATAATTGCATTTTAATTAAATGCTTGCATTAAAGCTAATATATGTTCTGGTCCTAAAGTATTTGTCTTGGTAAATGCATCATATAAAGTGCCTGATTTATGTTTCGAAAAAGTTAAATTCAGGTGATAAAAAAATTTCATGAATATATTATTTTTCTAAGCTTTTGTCTCTTTATACTCTTAAATTATTTCTATCAATGTAGACAAGTTATTACTAAAATAGTTCATTTGGATTAGATTCTGAAATGATGATTGTTTATTTTTTTTGATAGTAAATAAGCTTATTCTATTCTTAATGACAGATTTCACATTAATAGAAAAGTTCTTACAAATATCTGATCTATTCACTATAATAAATAGAAATGAAATTAAAACTGAAAAGAAGTCATATAAAGGATCAAATATGAATTTACTGCTAATAAACATGGTTTTAATATCTTCTAAATAATCAAAAAGTCTGTTGATATATTTATAATCTTCACAAATTAACTTCTAGAA